CTCCTTCAAAGTGTTCAGATTGTTCTTGTTGATCAGCACGGGATTCAGTAACAGGAGTGCCTTCACGAGATTGACGTGGTGAATCTGGAGGGGAGGGAACCATGTCATCTTGATTTTGATGAAATTGATTTTCATGGTTTCCCAATGTGTTATTACTGTTATTGTCGGTGTTGTTGTTTGACATGGTGACGACAATCGACAAGATATAGCTTAAAAGAAAAGATTATCAGATTCCCGGTAACGGAACCAATTTGTTTAACCAAAAATTTGGGTCTTTGGTCAAAGCTAAAAATAAATTCGGGTTACTGATAATCAAAAGACGAAAATAAAATACTTTTGAGAGTGATGGTAAAATAGTAAATAAGTTTGTATTTCAATGAGTTCCCAATAGTATTCCGTGTCCTTACAAATGATGATACTTCTTCCTTTTATAGGTAATTCTAGGTAAAGGAATGAAGCATCAGCTTTAATGGTATAATTATGAGTAATAAATGATACTAAATAAGTCGTTATATAATCATTCCTATTAAATACCAATTTTCTAACGTATCAGGTATTTAATAATGAATTTGGACTCCTTTCTGTCATCAGATCTTTGTCTTTAATGCCTTCTAATCCGTTGGATGTAAATGACTTGAATTGGTACGAGACTCGTATCTGCACTTCGTCTCGTGCCTATTTAAATTCCTCTTCCCGTGGTTGTCTCTATCCGTGCCTCTTAGTCAATTGTTGCGCTTTGACCATTTAACCAAACCACGTGTCATGTCACGTCATCTTTAATATAAACTCAGTTTTTTCCCAATATAGTACAGGTAAATAATATTTGAAAGTAAAGGGCTATAATTAGCCCTTTGCCGTTACACTTATATTAGAATAGCGGTTCAATTCGGTAAACTGAAATAATGTAGCATATACTTTTATGTTTTACCAAAAAGGAAAATTATTTTATGTCAATTTTATGAACTACTCCGTATAAATTAATTCACTACAAAAAATATTAGGGGTGAGAGGTTGTTCATAAAGTAAAAATGTGTAATGACTTTTTCGACTTATGTAACAAATCTAGAGTCTTGTTCTTAGCCCATTCAAATTAACCACCAATATTTTTTTATTGAAGTTATATAAGGGAAATAATTTAAAAAATCTAATATTAGAAAGGAAAAAAATTGTCAAACTATATCTTATTCACATTAATGAAAAACATGTACAAAGAATTGTTACAAAATCAAAATAAGAAAGGTGAACGTAATATCATAAACTACGGGGAGATTACTGTGATAGAGCAAAACATTAGGAGAGGTTATAGTCTCTCTTTTTTTTAAATTACTTTTGTTGCATTATTACTATTTGGGAGTTAAAGAAACTTTTATTTGACCATAACTTTTCCAAATATTTTAAAGATAATTTAAAATATTGATTCTTATAATTAGTAGTTTTTTTTGTATTTATTAAATATGTGAATATTATTTTAACAAAACTTGAAAAATTTTTGTCAAAATTCATATTGAAAATTAGTTAGTTTGACACTCATAGCATATGATTATTTTAAAGAGGTGGGATATTTGGCCAAACTTTTAAGCAAAAAATTAAGTACCTTCGAATAGTAGCATAAGCTAGTTTTTAGAAGCTGAAAAAATAACTTCAACCTAGAAGTACTTTTAAAATTTTGATCAAGCAGAAATTGCTACTCTAATATTGGCAAAATAACGTAAACTCTTATTTTTAAAAGTATTAATTCGAAAAGCATTTTTGACATAAAAAGTTATTTCAAATAAGTAGATTTTGAAAGTTAAACCAAAGAATATCATATTCTGTATTTTATTTTTAGTTCAGAACATTTTTTATTCAACGCGACTATGTTGTTTATCCCAAATTGAATGGGAGAAGAACATTGGTCAAAACCCAAACTCTTTGTTCGATGAATTACATATAAATATCTTAACTTCATAAACGCTGCTCTGCCGCTCCCCTACTTCATCAATGTTCATCATTCTCTAAAGGTATCATTATTTCTTATTTATTCCACGTATTTTTCTTTCTTTAATTCTATTCTGCACTTAAGATCTTTCATATATAATTCATATGGTATCAGAGGCGGACCCAAAATTTAAAGGTCGGGGTGCACTTTTGGATTTAATCAGAATTTGCTTTGTATGTAGGGTGTCCAGTACTAAAATATCACTATTTTCTAAAGATATATATATATATATATATA